AAAATTGTCCCGAGAAAGACGATGCATGCACATTAAGTTTTTAATCACACGATTTTTATCGCATTAAAACATTGCAATTGTTGCCGAACGCTGAAGTATAAGAGATATTTTTTTTAGTTGGAAAGTAAAAATGTTTGTTCTTATTTGATAACAAATCAGAGAAAACTTCTGACTTATAGAATAAATTAAAGTGGTTGTAACATTCATTCATATATCTTCGTGTTAAGGCGATTTCGTGTAAAGTAATGAAAAAAAAAATAATTACAAAGGTCAGTGGACGTTTTGCATTTATACGCTCTTATTTTAAATTTTTAATACAATAACATATTGTATGTCATTTCTATTTTTCATGATGATTTATTCAGGCCCGTAGGAAACAAATTCGGTTTGGGGGGGGGGGGGGGGCACAGCCATACATTTTCAGTTGATAGTTGAGGGGGCACTACCAAAAATTTCCTGACAAGCAAAAAAAAAAAAAAGGTCATCAGACTTTTTATTGCGGGGGGCACAAGCATATAGTATCTATGTTCTCTATAGTAATCTATATATCGGCAACATTATTGGGGAGGGGAGGCACGCCCCCCCTTGCCCCCCCCCCCCGGTTCCTACGGCCATATTTATTGAGCAGCATTTATCTGTAGATGGCCGTGATTATACTCGGACAAGATAATACAAAAATACATATTCATATTATTTGTTATAAATTCAATTTCCAGAACTTGATATTCAAGTAATATGCTGTTATACAGTTTTTATTAAACAGACAAATGAGAGAGAGAGAGAGAGATTCCGTTTTAGCCCCCCCCCCCCATTTCAGGCTTCAATAAATGTTTGTACCTATATCAAACAAAAACTCTGAAATTTTTTTTCTAAATATATCAGACAGTGAACGTAATTTTTTTTTATTAACAAATCATATCCATTTGTTTAACAGTCATACTCGTTTTTATTTTCCTGCTTCAAGTTCACACGAAGTCCACGTGCTTGTCCTGTCAATCAAAATCATTCGACACTGTGCAGGTGTGAAAGTTTCGTCACATCGAAGACGAAGTGCGAGTATTTCCAACAAGTTATAACATTTATTTTTATCATTTCTAGATTTGATTCCAACATTTGAATAATAATTGAATGAAATACATTGGGCATTAACACTTGAATTTGAAACATACTCTCTGCCAATTCCAAATACCACCGCCGACACGTGTACATTTTGAACTACTATTGTAGATGCATGTTTGTTTTGAGACTGAAATTTTTGTTCTAGAAAAGACCTTAACTTTTTTTTAAAAATGTTAATTAAAATATTCTGGAAATACAATACTGACTAAGTAACCGATTTAGGGGGAAAAGGGGGGGTTATTAATCATATCGAATGGCAAACATATAAAGTTACGGTGAAGAAAGATTTTTTTCTCTATAACTATAGACTTTACATATAGTAGAGAAATTTCTGTAGTGCATTACATTTTAAATAAATATTTCCTTTAACCACACCATCAATTTAATTCGCTCCAAAGATAATAAATTAACACGATATCCGCAGTACTATGTATAACTCTCAGAACTAGTTCTATAATATTTTCTGTAGTAATTGAAAAAAAAACGTGTTAGAAATAAATATTTTCGTAATTTTGCTGCGTAATTATTTGACTTGGATAATTATATCTCCATTAACGATTTGTCTTCTTTAACAAAACAACGAAATGTTGCAGTGCTTGAAGTATTTGCACATTGCCCTTAGTTAAATATTTCAGCATCGTTCTACATAGGTACAGAATGTGCTTATAACAACATTTATTTTCCAGAGTAATTTAATAAATAACCTAACAGCTAATTAGAATAATAAAAATATACATCGTAGATATTTTTCCCCATGAAATAATGATTCTTCAAACACGATATGTTAGTTATTAAATTAAAAAAACCTGTGACTCCTAACCTACAAAAAGATAAGTCCTTTCACTTCGGAGTTCCGAATGACAATGAAAACTGAACGATAGGTGAACGCTGAACGCAATGTGAACGCAAAGTGAACGGAACGAAGAGCGAACGCTGAACGCTTTGTGAACGGTGAACGCAAAACTGTGAACGGAGAGCGAACGGTGAACGCACGGTGAACGAACGGTGAACGCACGCTGAATGAACGGTGAACGAACGGTGAGCGAACGGAAAAATGGGAAAGTAGAACGTTTCAGGGACTGTAAGTCGGTCATGAATACATTAAAACTTTAAACTATCATTAGTCTTGAAATCACTTTTTATCCCAGAGAACTTTATTTTCACATAATTATAAAACTTGCCTAGACAATCTGTTAGTGAATATTTCATTCTTACATATACAGTAAAACTTGTCTAATCTGTTGTGTATTACAAAATCTTGCATTTATGATCTAAAACTGGAAGTTCCTTTCAGTAAAGGAGTATTCTTACTTAAGTATAGTAGTGTGGTCCCTTTTTACACCCTTGGTTTACCGGTTAAATATTAGCATACGGTATTTTAATTGTTTTTATTGTGTATAATGAAGTATTTCTAATTAAAACATTGTGTATTTATAATGAATAATTAAACATATCAAAAAGTACAAGCCTATTTTTAACACCTATCGCACTAAAAAATGCCGGAACATTTTCCCCGATCAGACAACGGTTTCTCTATTACATGGAAATGGGCGGAGACATTTAGATTAGATACTATAAAAAGAAGATCTTGTTATGATGTTTTTCTTTCAAAGACGAATTATATGTTCAAGATTCACAATCAACTACAAATACAATTTTCTATTTACAAAACTTTTGCAATAAAAGCTATAACAAGATGAAACAAACAAGTCCTTGCTGATCGATATAAAACTGAGTACGTTTCACATGTTTCAACTGAGAACTAGCACATTTACTGAGGGCATTTACCCGTAACGATACAAATCCATGTACTGGCTTGCTATGATTCTAAACAGGTCAAAAAGAGGTTAATCGCATGTAAATGAAGTCAGCCAAGAGATTCAAAATCTTGATACTTTTAATTAGAAAACATAGAGCACAGGGTTGTTCAACAAAGATATTTCCACTCAACATTTACACATATAATATAGACATTATATTTCAAACTCGACTCTGAACAAACCTGTGCTCGGTGTTTATGAAAGCTTTGAAGTGTGTACCTGTCACTGATTTCTTTTGGAATTCATGAAAATCAAAGGACCCTACCTTCTACGTGCAGCTTTGTATGCTGCCTATATATCTATTGTTTGACATTTTTAGATGATGGTTCAAATAATAAAGACATTAGTTAATAATAAAATTTAATTTTTAAAAATTTTAATAAATGTTCGAAATTTGACAAGTTACCAGGGACCACAGATAAGCCTTATTGAGACTTGTTCTTTGATGTTGTCTAATCCAGCCATTTCATATGGACCATAGGACTGGTGTCCAGATTAGACAAGTTTTACTGTATTTTATAATAGCAATTACCAAATTTGTGAAAACATTGTCCTGCTTATAAAAACCATACATCCCAAAAATAAGGTATTGCGTAAAATTGGTGATCTAGCTACAGCAGTGACTGAGAAACTCAAAAAGTAAAAATAGCATACGTGTATAGACCATGCTGCTTTTCTTTCATAAGTTGAAGGTCAGCACTCTGTTTTTTCAGAGCTTCTAATCTGGCTTCCCGAATATGTGCTGGAATCTCCTCTCTTTCTAATTGATCAATAAGTTCCTGTGAAAAAGTTTCCCTTCAGTTAATATAATCCGACATTCCTCCGACTCTAACCCCTGCTTTTATATCATGACATGTACATATGTCACAATATAAAAGTAGGGTTATCTAGAGTCAGAGAAAACTTGGATCACAGATAATAGAGTCTCAAAAGTTATATTTCACGATAAATAAAGTGCTAGACAATCAAGAACAACACTTAAAGTCACATATGGTGTTTATGGTGTATTTTTGATAAGTTCAGACTAAATAAAATAAAAAAAAAAAAATTCTATTTATTTTATTACTTTATAAAGAACAATAACCAATTTATTTACCGACTCCACATTTAAATATCAGACACAGTTTAAAGTCAATTTAACTATAGAAATGTGGGGTACGTTATTCAAGTTCAAAATTAGTGAAAATTTTAATTTGAACGTAAATAACATATATCATGTTTATCTACACTTAATCTGGTATTTTTAATTTTTTAGCTCAGATACGCCATATATAGCTTTGAATATAAATAATGACAAAGAACCAACACAGCTCTAAGTTTTATTTTTCATTTAGTGATCATGACAGCAACAGGCAGTCTAAGTTGTACTATACAGTGTATCTATGATTTATGACGTACTGAAAGAAAAAAATGAGAAAAAAATTATCGAGTGTTTTTTTCTTCAGTTAAATCAGACATAAAAAACAGATTTTTATGTCTCTGGTTAAATTCTGACGTCTGAATACAAAATCTGACTCGCCTGTACATCGGGAATTGAAAAACATGACTGAATTAGTCATAACATGAATTGATGAATGATACATGGAGTTCACACTGTAATACAACAATCACTTCAATGGAATATATCTATTTTTTTTTACAGTATATTCATTGAAAAAAATACACTAGTTAAAAAATCTACCTACCTCCTCGACGAGTGTCTCATCGTCTAAAATTTCATGAGCACGCTCTGTTGTTGTGGTCGCCATTTTCAAACAAATGTTCAGAATAGTTTGTACCAAAGATATTAGAGGGATTCGTTTTGTTTTGTTTTTTTAAGAATTTAAAACCAGATTCGCTTCAATTCCAGTACATTTGTATATGTATGTATTAAAAATGATCCAATAATATTATGACCAAATGATCGATACTAAGACATGCTCGTGTGATATTTTAATATCGAATACGTAAAGAACAAGTTATCTTTTCTTATTTTCGGTTTCCATAAATGCATTCGTAACTACTCGGGCATTTTCAGAAAGAAAAGAGAAATATTTAGTTCACGGAAATGGCCGAGTAGTTACGATTATCACAAATGGTAATATTCAGGAAAAAACACCGGAATTTTTTTTTATTGCTTCATTGTCAACAGAGAATGAGCTCGGGATATAACAAGGATCTTGTAACTGCATTACGAGACGTAGTAAATGAAACCAACTGGTATTGTGCAGGACCAGTAGCCAAGTTGAAAAAATACATTTGTAACAGGTAAAGCGGCTGTAAGTAACAGTTGTGCAATAACCTGACAAACTCTGTGTAATGTTCATAATATTGGAACTATCTTCTCTTACATTGCCAGTCAGTTACATGTCGGGAGGTAGTTGACAGAACGTTCTATCATTAAAATGATATTGTCTACATTAATAGACCGGGTGAGAGCTTAAATTGTAGAGAGAAGCATGTTTGAATGTTTCTTGGCACTCTCTTTCTTTTCCCATGGAGGTTCCATTATTGGAAGGCATCCTTGGAAAGTAGTCTTGACATTTTTACTGACACTATGGAATGACCAGCAATTTAGAAAGATTTTTTTCATTAAAAAAATTCTTTATTTTGAATGTTTTCATTTTTTTTTTTATAGATATTATGCTGATGGTGGAGAGGATATTGTTGTAATCTACAGTAAAAAGAGTGACAAATTCTATGCACTGGGAGCAGTGTGTTCACATGAAGGTTGAAATTAAGTTTAAAGTATTTCTTATAATTCACTTATAAACTCAAAGTAAAAACTCACAGTAAAATAACATTGTTTTTTCACCCTGAATCAGAATGTTATATTGTATGGATTCGTTATACACACACATTGTCAATATGATTATCAGCTTGATATATCTAACTTAAGGTGGTCCTCTAGAGCAAGGTGATATAGAGGATTTCGATGGTCGGGAGAAGATTGTATGTCCTTGGCATTCATATGACTTTGATCTAGAAACTGGAGAATCATCATACGGATTGAAGGTGAGGAATACCTTGTTCTGTTAGGCCAACTTATGATAATAATCCTGTAAAATAAATGGACGATTTAATTGTCATTGTTTATCGATATTCATGTGTATTTACCTTAGTATGTACATTGATATGGGAGTTTTACAGTGTTGATTTAAGAAATAAAGTATCATTTTTAAACATCTATCGGGATATAAATACGGGTTGGTCACGAGATCAAATTTGATCTCGTACCAACCCGTATTTATATCCCGATAGATGTTTTAAAATGATACCTTATTACTTATATTTACATTTGTGACTTATTCATATTATATATAAGCCTGGTTATAACCTTTAACGCGTGAAATGTTTTATTTTTTCAAACTCAACGGCACGAGTATGATCTATTGATTGCGCGTCGACCCTTTATGACGTCACTGAGAAATTACGTCGAACGTTTATGACGCGAGGAACCTGTGTTTATACGAATATAGATACGCGTTGCTTTTAATAGTGTTATATAAAAGAAAACATTTCCAAATGTAAATATTATTATTTAAATCTTGAAATATACAGAATTTATATTATTTTACAGCAAGATGTATATGAAGTTTGTATAAAGGATGATCAGCTTTATTTCTACACTGGAAGTGAGCTGTCAACCAAACCATTTAAGAGTCCAGTTATCAAGAAAGACACCACCCAAACTGAAACAAGTGAGAAGACATACATGATAAAGGAACAAATCTAGTCAGATGGACTACATGTATTATTTTCCTGCATCACAAAAATGATAATATGATATGCAAAATGTTTCTGATACAGGATAAATGTATATAATAGAATGGAATACTGCATCTTGTTAAAACACAATATTATATCTATAATATTTACTGGGTTGTCTATGGATTAATGTTGCCAGTCTGCCTGTGTCTACAATTTTGTTCAGCTGTGGCATTTACAGTGTAGTTCTGCCATAAATGAATGACCTATTGTAGGTCATCATCTTCAAATTTCACACAGAATTTATGTGATGTTTCTGAACCATCAGTGGTGTTCACTTTCGGCTTCAGTTGATGCCAGGTCTTGATAATGTCAAATAGAATAAATTTATCTGGTTGAGGAGGACATTTCTGGTTTATCATCTTCAAACTTTGCAAATGATAATCATGATAAGATGTTGCAAATGCCAATTTATATCTTGTCTTCAACATTCTTCTTTTAAAATAAGTAGCTGATTTGTAGTGAATACTTCATCTTTTGTAGTTTCTCTCTTTAATATGGAAAGAAATTAGGACAGATCAAAACAGGATATCAAACTGTCTACTGACTACTGCACAATCCTGCCATGTCATCTAAGCAGTTTCTTGTTTTGTATTTGATAGCATAATCTTGCTAGTTGCCACTGTGTAATGTGTCTTTTTTTTTAAAAAAAAAAAATAGAAACAGACAAGACAGTTAAGGATGAAGACACAACAAGTCTAACATACTGGGCATCAAAAATACTCAATACGGCCTGTCCTCAACAAAAGGTAGATAACTTTGTCACAAGTTTTCACTTTATTTTTAAGTGAATTTTCTGTTTGCACCTATTCATAATTTACTCGACTTAAAATATCAACCATGATATGTGGACTTTTAAGGGTATAGAACATTTCTCCAATATCATGAATATCCAGCATATTTTCTTTTGCATTGTGAACAGGAATAAATGCATTGTAAACAGTCTAATGATTATCAGCTTAATCCCTGTAAATATTGAAATAGCAGAGGGGTTATAATAAACTTGATAAAGATTGAAGAAGGATACATTAAAGATTGATTTGTTTACAAATAGGTAGAACTAACACAGAAAGTGGGAGAGATGTGGAGAAAAGGGGAGCTAACTGTGGGATTTTGTCATCCACCAGACCAACCAGCCAGGGATGAAGGTTTAACAGTTGTAAAACCAGGCAAGGAGAGAAAGAGAGGGAAAGGGGGCTCTCTGGTATTATATAGTCCACTTAATATCTGATTCTCTTACTTCTGGTAAGGCCTAAAAAATATGTTTGTTTACAGTTACCCATTCACTCAAATTTTATATGTCTACCCAAAGATTTTTATTGTTTTAATTTTATAAAGATATTGCATGTCTAAACATTTCTTTCAAAATGTAACAGTTTATAAGTCATAAGGTTCCTTTTAGATCTAGCTGTCAGGTAGATTTTATGGCTAGAAGAAGAGAACCTCAAACTATGTTTATAAATTGTATTTCAAAGTTCTGCTTTTATGTAAAAAAAAAAAACCCCGCAAAATCCTTCCTCCCTACTTTTTATTTGCATGTAATAGTAAACAAACATTTTTTTTTCTTTGGCCTAATTAAAGAGTCAATATCTGAGCAATGAGTCATTTTTATTTGTACATGTATTTGTTATCAAGAAATTGGGTTGGTTTACATTTGCAATAAAATTTCTAAAATATAATTTACCACGCAAGTTTAAAATTTTGAATTACATATAAAATATACATTTTCACTGAAAGTCTTTTGGGTATACATTATGAAAACATGAAACTCAAAGTAAATTTTTCTTGTAGACTAGTCGGATATCTAGCTTGCATTCTATGGCCAATATAGAGCAATGGGCTATTGATTTATCATGGGACATCATTGCTCGCTTCTCCACGGCAACACCAGATGGTTGTGATGAGGCTCTCCCACAGGGTTTCTATGATGATTTTGTCCAAGTGGCATGTGATGAAGCAAAGGTGAGATAAATTTCTCTTTAAAAAAAAACTATTTTACTTTTCAAGTTTAACTTATTTAGCAAGTCATTGCTCTTAAATTTTAAATTGAAGTATGTGGTGATTAATGTATTATATCATATTTATATTTTACTGTTTTACTGTCAAATGGTGGGAATCTTTATCCAGAAGCATATATTTCAGTTATTGTCATTTTCAGCATTATAAGATGCTGTCAGATAGACTACAAGACTTGGGTAGCTATTTTGGTGCTCTTCCTGTGCATAATGGTATGTCCTATTTAAGCTAGTTTTAGAAGCTAATGCTTTGAATATTTTCTAGAATAGAATCAAGTCCTTATATTGGGCGTTCAATATTTTGATAGTGATATGAATACAAATATAGTCCCTTTAGATTTCACTGGTATGGAACTAAAAAAGACCTTCTGATACCCCCTGTGGTTTTGGTTAATTTTGTTGCTTTTTTCATAGCATTGTGGTCCGCAGCAACTGACACAAGTGACAGTTTACTAGCAAGACTGGCTATTGTCCATATGGTACACGAAGCCAGGTTAGCTCACATTTGAATCTTGGCTTTCTTTTTTATTTATTTTTCTTTAAAAAAATATTGCTGTCAAGATATGGAAATTTTTTGATTTCATTCATCTTTGTTTGTGTGTGTTTAAGAGGTCTTGATGTGCAACCAAAAATTTTGGAAAAATTTGCAAAGAACAACGACCCAGAATCAGCAGCAATATTGGAGGTCATTTTCCGAGATGAGATAACTCATGTTGCTGCAGGACTGAGATGGTTTACTTACGTATGTTCTCACTCCAACCCTCCCCTGGTAGGCATCCATTTTTGAAATCAATAGAAATTTCAAACTATCTCAGTACATACATCGTTATACTCTAATTACTTATAATGTACTTAAAATGGTACTTCCTAGAATTTGCCAAAAATACTTAGTGTTGAATTCCATTATATACATGTATAAAATCCGTCTTGGAATCAATTATTTCAAGCATGGATATATAGACAGATAATATTACATGTTTTCCTTGTGATAATTAGCATATGTAGAACTTTTTTTCAGGATTGTATTCCAACATTTCATAAATTAGTGCAACAATATTTTGGGTATGTAAGACATTTTTAGACTAATAAACTTGATTTTTTTTTCTTCATAAATTGGGGTGAATTCAGGTTTGAATAACTTGATGACATTGTTCAATATTATTCTCATTCCTAATCGTTTTAGTTCTTTGAAGCCTCCATTTAATACAGAGAGCAGAACCATAGCAGGAATGACGGAAGAGGTAATAAAGAAAAATGTGCATTTAATATTTGTAAATCAATAGGACATTTAAAAAAATAATATAGAAAATAACGTATAAAAAACTTACTCAGGTTATGTTTTTTTTCTCTGCAATAGTTGCAACTGTTAATGCACTTGGAATTTATTTTGGAAATTTAATGTAGATTTATGTTACGGGAAATACTAGTATCAACATGAATAAGCTATACAAGAGAAAAAAGTTGTAAAAATGATCAAATACCAATTTAGGTTTAATTGCATCCATTAAAGGGATGCCTTGTTATCATTAAAAAGACATTTTACCAATGGCTTCCAGATGGGTTTAATTCTTATTTAATGTTTTAATGTTAAAACATCCACATTAGCAATATAATTCAAGACTAAATTCTCTCTTATGCTACAGAAATTAATTTTTAGCTCTCCTGAGTTGAATTTTAAGATTAATTATCACATATTCTCAGTTGAAAGGTTTGAAACTCACATATACACACATGAGTATGAGTGAAAATATTGTAGAAAAAGATAATTTTATGAAATCAAATAAAAGGTCTTATAGTTATATTCCATCGACAATTTGCTTATAATATATTTGTTAACTTTTACAGTGGTACCTGCCCTTGGTGAAGCCTGCCAGCTGATATCTTCTGGTATTTTAATATAAACTGAAAAAGCAATAAAATTTAACTGTTGGTCTTCCTGTTCATATATTTTCATTCTATAGTTCCTTATGGACAATATAAATACTTAGTAACTTGCATTTCATGTTTGAGTGCAATGCAGATATAATGTAACTGTAATAAACTGTCTAAAAAAACATGAAATTATTAATTTTTGCATTGCTCTCTGTCATGAATTTCATAATTTTGTAAAGAGTTAACTGTTTTTCATAATCATAGAAACAGTTTACCTGCAATATGTCCATGAAGGAGGATTTTCAAAAATGTGCATACATTGCAATTTAATATATGACAACCATGTTCCATCCTTAGTCCTGGACACAGGGGTCACAATTTAGGAAAAAGTTTCTTCATACTCATATGATTATGCAAACAATTAGTCTTCTAGATGTCCATGAATAAAGTAGACATCATAAAATAGAATGCATTTTCAATGAATGGCAACCTAAACCCCAATCTGGAGCCAGAACTCAAGGGTCATGAATTTCACAATCATTATAATCATGGCAACAGTTTGTCTACTAAAGTATCCAGGAGTGTTGGAGAAAATGTTTGAAGATTGCAATAAGTTTATGGTTTTGGACCCTCAGGCCCCATTTAGGCAGTGGCATTAACGAAACTAACAATATATGTCCCCATTTATCAGTAGATGCTATATACAAAAATTGGTCATAATTAGTTCTGCTGTTCCCCAGAAAAAGCGGGAAAAAAACAACGACATGAAAACAAAATGAAACTCATTGACGGGTGATACTAGTAATATTAAGTACATGTCGTGATCAAGGATATGGGTAGTTATTGCAGTTAATAATACTGGTTTTAAATGTTTGTTTCGCGTTCTTTTTAAATAGTTTATTGTGTATATTTTGCTTTTATTTCGATTCTAGTCGCCCGCTTGGCGCTGTTGTTAGCGCGTTTACTCTGAAGTTGCGGAGTAAGGAGTTGTTCCTTATGTCGCGGGTTCGAATCCACTATGAGACGTGGAGACCGGTCCTTCTGATGAGACCGTATAAACCAAGGTTCTGTGTCGCAGTAGGTGCTGACACAAAAAGACCCCTCACTGCTCAATGTCCACGAGTGCCGAGTATAGATCCAAATTTGCAGCCATCCATATGCAAGTGGTGACGTCTCCATATGAGTGAAAAATTCTCTATAGGGGCGTTAAACAACAAACAAACATTTCGATCCTTTGTTAATTTCGCTGTTTGTATCCAAAGAGAATAATATATGTTAAAGGGAAAAGTACTGCATAATATAGGTCCCCCCTAATATCATCTCCCTCTTGACCGTGTACAGAATAAATGTATATCGTACTTCTCACTATATGATTAAATTCAGGCCCATTAGGAGCAATTTCAGTTGGGGGGGGGGGGGCACAATCACACATTTTCAGATTAATGAAGGGGGCACTACCAAACAAAATTCTGTGATAAGTTTTAAAAAAAAAAGGGCCTAAAAGGTCACCTGAGAATAATACACTGTAAAGGATCCATAGAAGTATAAAATAAAACAAAATAAACTGATAAATGAAGATATGTTGCCCAAAATTAAGGATACACAAAAGGTTTCCAAATGCCAGAATTTTATTTGCATGTAATTCTTTCATTATCAAAGATAACATAATAAAAGTATATATCATTTGAAAGCTTGTTAAATTTACCATTTATCCTAATTTAAATTTTAATTAATAACTTATTTAAAAATTATATAAATATTGATGTAAATTTTAGTGCATGAATATTTTATAAATCAACTTTTTTGTATTTTACCCCCCCCCCCCCCCCCCCCCCCAAAGTGGTAATTTTGCCTCAAGGTAGATTAAAGATTGAACTTAAAAACTATATCTCAGATTTTTGATAAATCTTCTAATTCAAAAGTTACAGCCATTTGTCCTTCAATGTTAACAATTTATTAGCCTAATTTAACATTTCCCTCAATATTTCCAAAACTAAGCTAGATATAAAAAACTGAGATACAGTTTTGTGAACACGCATTTGAGAAGCAACCCATCCAATTTTCAGAGAAATTGGTCAATAAATAAGGGAGCTGAATCCTTTGAAATAATACCACAAACTGTCAGATCTTACTTTACAGTAGAGGGCAAAAACCCATTACACAACAAAATCTACCAAAGCTAAGAATATATGACACCTTGGAGATTCAGCTTTGGATACCTGTCACTTAGCCATATTTTCCATGCATATTTACAAGAATGGGAGGTTCTTTTCTGTATTTAGATGCTTTTAATTAAGTAAAATAGTTTCAATTCTGAATCAGAAAGATTTCCCGGCAAAATGGCAAGAGCTAAGCTCCACCTTCTATTTTATGGTCATCAGTGATCTGGTAGATCTCCTTCTCTAAATCTAGAGTCCCTGTAGTTTAATTACTGATACCTCTGTGTGGCTAGTGAAGAATTCCCCAAGTGGTCACAATGATTTATTGCGTCTTTCATGGGCAGGCAGTCACAGATCAAATCAGAAGCTTCAATAACGGAACATTCACATGTGGTAGTGTTTATGTTTCATTATTGTTAAATAATTAAAAAACCATTTCATAATTACCAAAAAATTTACATGCATTATAAAGCAGTGATTAACTTCTTTTTCTTAGACAAAAATCTCAAAATTGTTGAAAATCTTGAAAAAAGCCTTCGGTGTATCCTTAAGCAATGTACAAAATAAGGTTTTTTTGTCTTATTTTTATTCATCTATTATTCACAATCTATCTGACCATTAATAATTTGAAAGTGCATTTTGTACTATACATTAAAATTTTTTGTAATTCTTTTATTCAATTGACCTATGAAGTACATTATTAATAATAATGACTTATCATTAGTGAATAACAAATGGGAAAAACTTCCTTCAGTAGAGTACAATTCTCTTTACAAGATCAATAGAGCCTTGCCCAGCAACAGAACACTTGACCAAATGATCCAGAATTTTACAAATCTGATAAAAATACCCTTGCTCATTACAACTTTGTACTCTGTTTGCCTCCTAGATTTTTAAAGAATTAATGGATTTTTACTACATAATCAAATTAATCAATAGACACTAGAACCTCTGACCCAGGAGCCATGGATATATAGTCACATTTTGTAAGAGGCACTCTTGCTTATCATGACCATGCATTAAGTTTATCTGCTAAATACACAGGAACAGAGAAGATTTTCAAAGAATAAATGTATTTTCACTATATAATCATAAGAGCACTACCCTAACACTAGAACCCCTACCAAGGGCCATGAAATTCTTAATATTGGAAGAGGCAACCTTACTTATCATAACCATGCACTTGGTATGTTTGCTAAATGTGCAGGGGCAGAGAAGATTAAAAAAAAGAATAAATGTTTTTTCACTATATATATTCAATAGAGCCTTGCCCTAACACCAGAACCCCTGGCCCAGAGGCCATAAAATTCACAATTTTGGAAGAAGCACCCTCGCTTATAATAATCAAGCACTTATTTTTTGCCTTATACGCAGGAGCAGAGAAGATTTTCAAAGAAATAATGCATTTTCACTACATAATCAGTAGAGCCCAACTCTAACACTAGAACCCCTGCCAAGGGGCCGTGACTATAGTTTTGGAAAGACAGTTTTGGAAGAGGCACCATTGCTCATCATAATCATGCACTTGGTATGTTTGCTAAATGTTCAGGGACAGGAAAGATTTTTTAAAGCATTGATGTATTTTTTCTATATATAAATAACAGAGCTCCCTCCTGACACCAGAACCTCCTAACCTTGGGCCATGAAATTCAAAATTTTGGAAGAGGCACCCTGCTCATCATAACCACGTACCTAGTTTGTTTGCTAAATATACGGGAGGCTTTCCAACGGGCCTGAAATCTATAAGATTTAATATAAATGATATTTATGTATAGAAAAATCATTGCGGTGCCCTTTTTGTTCATCACTAACTTGAGACTCACTGAAAAATCTTTTAAAGATGTATATTAGTTATATTTTGATATGATTTACAAAAATCTCAAAAATATGGAGATAACGAGCTCATAGTCCATTTAAACGATACAAATCGGGAGTAGGGCAAACATATCATGGACCTACAAAAACATCAGAGGCGGGATCAGGTGCCATGGTAGAGTAAGCACCCCCTGTTGACTGGTCACACCCGCCGTGTGCTCCTGGTCATGATCGAGTAAACGGGAAAATCAGTAGAAAAGTCTAAATAATGGCCTAACAATTTGTATGAAAAACGTCAGTCAGCATTTGATAGATTGTATTTGCTGATAAGATCATTGTATCGACCATCGAACTTGCACAATGATGATTTCAAAAGACACTTGATATCCTTGTTACATCAACTTGTTGGTTAATAGTGTGCCTCGTTTTAAAAATTGATCGTACGTAGAGCATGCTCTTGCGTATCGAATCAACTGGGAGACATAAACTTCATATGCAGGTGATAAGGGTATATTGCTACATAAGTAAGGTAAGTTGACGATAGAAAAGTTGAAGTCAGCACGTTTATCTTAGGTTTTGTTGTTTGGTTACCATTAACGCCCTTTTCCAGGAAAATATCCAAATATGAAACAGATGTGTCAGATCTGTGGTGTCTTTTATTCCAAGTTCACTGGGATATATCGAATCGACATATAAATGGAAGTAACTATTGTTAATTGATAATAAGTCGTCGAGATATCTAAATGTCGAGTTGAAAGCCACAGCAAACGTTTTCATCTCCTCGTGTGAAAGTTGTTGAGTAAATTCTGCTTCATATGAATACAAAAGCAGATCTGCTAATAAGGGGGCGTAATTGGTACCCATGGAAATTCCAACAGATTGTTGGAAGACCTGATCTCCAAAAAACTACATAGGTATTGTCAATCAGAAACTCAATCAAATAAAACGGTAACCACACATTTTGTATACCATCGAACGTGGAACAAGTGAGAACCTAAGAGAACTGAATGAAATATGTGAAGTTAACTAACAGTATTCGAGCTCAAAAGTCCATTAAACATTACAAAATAGGAGCAGAGCAAA